AAATAGTATTTTATTTATAATAGCAACAAATTATTTCGTGTCATCGTAGTAACATTTGATTGAACGTATCGAACTAAATATTTTGGTAAAATAAAACAAATTTTCGTTTTTCAACAAATTTTTTTTCTCAGTGCATTAATATCAACTAAATTGTAATGTATCAAGCGAAAAATTTAATTTTTTTTTTTAATACAAGCAATTTGAAAATCTATTTTCGTTTTTCTACCTGAAACATCCGATCCACCTTCTCGCGTACACCCTCATGGTCCAAGTTGGGATCAGAAAATTTTCCCATCAGCTCGTATACGGCAGTCACGATGTCCGTCATCTCCTCCCTCGTGATACAGCCGTCGCCGTTGATATCGTAAAGAGAAAACGTCCAACGAAGTTTTTCGTCTATCGAGCCACGAGATAGTATACTCAGGCCCGTAACAAAATCCTGCAACATAAAAACCAGTATTGACCGTAGCAGTGTGGCACGTCGCCATAGAATATTTCAAGATATACATTTATGTACTTGACACCCAAGATACTACCGTGTTTCTTGATATTTTGTAAATATGCATATTAACGTAGCGTTATAATCTACCCATCTCTCGCTTCGCTTATCTTTAATTCTTTCTTCTTACTCTATGCGATATTTATTCAGAATACCGTATATCAAGCAACGGAGCAATTCTACTTCCGCGTGAGGATGATTAGAGTTGCATTTAATTGCGTAGTAATTAAACGAATAACACTAATAGAGAATGGGATGGTAAACTTTAGCACTAGCTTGTCGCGACTGAATAACGGTACGGCGCCGAACTTGGAATGAAACGTACAGATGTGAGCACATACCGCACGAGATTTGTGGTCATGTGGTTTATGCAACTTACAGCACCTGCTACTAAGTTATATGAGATCGAGAGATGCGATTGTTCCATCATGTATTTATTATTGAAGCATTATTGTTTCTGCTATGTATTGTATACGTACTCCATGTTTTTTGCTTTTAGAGCTGAAGTATCTGATAGATATTTAAATAAACATGAGTAAAAAATATAAAAAAAGTTGATTACAATCACAATGTTATAGAAGTTTTAAAAATCAGATGGATAAATAAATCCGTATATTTAATGAACTCCTTTTTTTTCCTCCTAATGTATTTTTGAAAAAGTTAGTATTTAATCAAAATCATAGCTGTAATAATATTAATTTTTTTTAAAATCATATGTAACATAAAATTAGATGGAAGCACAAGCTTGAGTGCATTCTTGCATTCACATTAACGTCGCGGCAACGCGTTCGCATGCAAATTTTGTCATGCAAAAAGAGCGTGGCAATAAGAAAGATTGGACAACTGCTATTTCAGTGAAATAGGTCGCTCGCACAAAAGCAATTTAGACACGGAAGGATGTTAAATTTAATCGTACGGTAATTGGGCAAATAATGGCGACAGTGTAACGACGTGTAACTCGTTGTCTCGTAGGAGACAAACTACGCTATCAGTCAGCTAAGTTGCAACGCAGAAATCCCGCTACGTATTAATATATACGCGTGTAAGCGTGTGAAACTGCGGAGAAGTTCACGAGAGCGTTGCGCACGAGATATAGACACACATCAGACGCGTAAGTAAAGCCCTAACAAGGAAAGTAATAGGACTGGCGGCGCTACGCGTCCATTTCTGGTACAATTATTATGGAAATTCGTCTGCGGAATTTCGAATGTGCTGACTATAAGCTAGAACAGAATTGCGGCCTGGTTCTATCGTGCTACTTATACCAACTCGAGTTCGTCATGGAGTGAGAAATACGTCAGCGTATTGTCACAATCGAGTACATTTGGAAGCCGCCTTTGTAGCGGCGCGGCAAGACGTAATTACGGAGTCTGATATTTGCGCTTTCGCTCGTGATAGATCCCCACGATTAATTAAAACTCGCACGACGGATTTTAATTATCCGCTAGAAGCGGCAGAGCGGATGGAAAAATAGTAGAACCGAGGAATTAAGTAGAAATTGAATTGTGAATAGAATAATTGCGCTCCTTTGTCTCGCCACATTTAAGTGACCTCCCTTGAATATAAAATATTCTAATTAATCTTGCAATAATGTTTGGGTGCAATTATGCGAAACGATTATTGCGCGGATACCACTCGCGGGTAATCTCTCAGGGCTGTTCCGAACGGACGATTTATGGAGAAAGCCACTTTGCTAATTACATTTGGTAGGCCTTGATTCCAATAAAATAAAACACAATGTCGATGGGGTAGCATACATTTGAGTACATAAAAAAATACTAGAGTGGGAAAATTTAGTGCTCATCTTTACAAGTTAAGTTTAAATATAAGCAACGACAAAAAATACTGGAGTGGGAAAATTTAATACTCATCTTTACAGGTTAAGCTTAAATATAAGCAACGACATAATTACAATAAACTCCAATCACAAAGCAAAGTAAAAAGTATCGAGAATGAAAAGTATATTAATGGTTGAAATAATGAATATTGTCTTTAAATTGTGGTAAACAACAAAATTATATGTATTATCCTCGACTTTATTTGTTAATATCTCGTTGTGAGATCAAAAAGAGTAATTGCTGAAGCTGTTAGCCCAGCAAATTGTATTAAACAGTCACAAAGAATAAAATAAAATCAGGCAGATGAGAGAACAAAATATAAAAATAGATGTCAGTGATTAACGTTAATAAAATTTGATGCTGAGAGCAGAATAAAATAAAAAAATCTACGTAAAAACTGAAATATCAAAAATACAATTTCTATTTTTCTTATATGTGTAATAATAATGTTGGTGTATTCTAATATATTATATCACTAACAGTTAAGAAGACGCACATAAAAATTTAACATAATATAAAATAATATAAATATCTTAAAAAGTCTTCAAAAATATATTTGTTAATCATTTTTATCAAATAATTCTTATAGAATTAAAATCATATTAGATAACTAATGACTTTTCTTTTTAAATACATATCAAGTGATAGGTTTTATTAATGATGTAATTGTAGTACCTATATTAATATAATATACTATATGATTTTGTATGCGATTTTTTCTTGATGAAATTTTGAAATGCAATATAATATTTTCTGCAAGAATTTTTATCATTAATATATATTAATTTTAAAAAATTTATAACTCTAATAAGCACATGTCTCTTATCTTTTTCGATACCAGCTTGAAACTGAATATTGAAAAATAGGCTAACGTCTTACGATAGAAAGAAAATATGACGTAGTACAAGGGGAGTAAGAAATCGCCAAATGTTGTATAAATTCTCCTAGAAGGTCTAAACCCTGACATACATCATACTTGACGTCACTTAATCTTACTTACAGTCAAAATCCACGGTTTCACGCCTTGTGTTGTTTTACGTGTTTCCACATGTGCACATTATGATATCAAACTTTTCACATTTCTCAAGAAAATTTTATCAAGAAAAATCTTTTAATAGCCAATTATGCCGCATGTTATTATATTCTATACTAATTCTATTATTATATTCTATACTAATTCTAATTGGTTTACATATCTATTATAATATAATTGTGGAATTCCTATGATATTATAAGTCAGCTGCTATATTGCAGACTGCATGTCGACTCACGCAGAGATATGAAGATAATATACGTTTAATATACGTTTAATATACGATATGCAAGCATTACTTTGATAGGAAATCAAAGTTTGCAATTATACGAGCGTGTTTATACATGGCTGACCTAGTCTTGACCATCCAAACAATGAAACGTCCGAATAAATATCGATTGTTGATCCAGGTCGTCGTGATTATGTCGAGAGTCAGGAAACGGCAACAGAACTTTGAATTAATCGAGGATTATAAACAATGAAGGAACTTGACGCATATTTAAAGACCGCAGCGACCGTTCTTTAAATATATGTACATATATTTAACTTGTAAAATGTATAGATTTGTTTCTAAAAACTTGTATCTTCCAAAACTTCGAGATTGCGGCATACTACTTGTCCTCGAGGACTTTGTCCTCGTAAATGTAATAGCTTTATAAAATAGATTTGGCAAATTTTACCATGCCTCAAAAACAATAACAAAATCACTATAATCAACAGAATTATAATATATTATTTTTACTTCAAATAATTTACTTCTTAACTTTAAATTTATGACCAACTCTCGCATTGTACTCATATTCCTAATATTGCAGATATATTTGCAGAAGATGTTACGTATATTAAAGATTTGATACACTTAAAATAATTATAGATATAGTTTGAAGAAGGTAATGTCGCTAAAATTTATAATCTTTATTAAGACAAAACTTTATAGACTCATAAAGACTAAGAATAATAAATCATTATTACCAGTTGTACAATTTCGAAATCGTCGAATTTTACGTTGCGAGAATAAACTTGTAATTGAATGATGTTTAATTAAAAAGAGTAAAGATTTGCTTTCATGTTTATAGATATTATATCTATAATATGACTCATCGGCAATATATCGGGAAAAGAGGTCAATTAAATACTGTAGAAACATCTATTGCACAATATCAGTAAAACCTGTTAAAAGTTAAAAATAAATTAATTTTGTCAGTTTTGTTAAAAAACAAAAGCGCTTGTTTTGAGAATACAACTTAACAATGTTTGTCAGATACATTAAACTGAAAACGAATTGTTCGTTTATATCGTATGCATACATCTTTTGCAAAATTATTTGTAGACTATTCGTTCGTTTTCATTTATCGCAAATATAATTTCCCATTATCATGTCATTAGTTTAATTCACGCACAATAAAAGCTGTATTATATTTCTCATGTAACACAGTTTTTTCAAATAGAGATTTTTCAAAATAGATCTATTATTTTATTCACACAGCTTTCTAAAATCAGTGCTTTTAAGTGATAAACTCTAAGAATAATCAGTAAATTCTATTTTAATTCTTATCCTTCAATTTTCATATTAATGAATTTAAATGGAATTGTGTTTGACAGGTATCCCAACATTTTACATGAAAATGCTTTTCAACTGCTTGGCACAGATCCACATGTAATCAGAGAGCATGCAAATGATTTTAACTGCAACTGTCATAACTTTTAATCACTATCAGTTAAAGTGCTCTTTAATAAAATCTTTTATCTTTAATTAGCTTTTTCAATTAACTAATTATAACGGAAAAAAGCTTGATATCCATTTTTAAGAATCAAGTAACGTACAGTTTAGATGTATAAAAACTTCATGTAACAAAAAAGTTTCAAAAACATTTAAATAAAATTAATTAATAAAATTTCTAATTAAATGAAAAGGTAAATTTTAATAATTTACATTCTACTTGGATGCACGAGGATCTACACAGAATTATAGATAAGTAATAAGATAAATAAAAACTGTTTAATTTGCGTAAATTTTTCAAATTCCTTTAAAAATTTTTGTAGTCTATATAAAATAAGAAGTTTTTGATTTCTTTGCTTTAAATTATGGTTGCATCGCTAATATAATTTGACATGATATACAACGTTATTAAAGTACGAGATGTATTATGATGAATAAAGCATATTACTTATACGCACCGTAATTGATCGTACTAACAGTATTGCTTATCTTGCAAAATACGTAAATAAATTCGCAAAACTGAATCGCAATTAGCTTTTAAAATTCTACGAAGGCCGCTTGATTAAATCGCCGCTATATCCGTAGGGAACGTTGCAACGTTAGAAAGTAAGGAGGATGAGGAAGTCTGCCGTAGAATGAGTCATATTAAAAAAAAAAAGAAAAAGAGAAAAAGAGAGAGAGAGAGAAAGAGAGCTTTGTGAGAAATATCACAGTTAATTAAAAGTTCCGGTGACGTTCGTTTTTCTATCCTGCTTAAAGCAGATTTACTCACAGTGCACGCATTTTTTTTCATACAGATGCTATAACAACGGAACGCTTCCTTTTTACCCCGTTGCATGTTAGTCAGACAATTTTCGTCGTCGCTGCAGTTTGTGATTCTGAATTCATTTTTTCGTTGGTCGTACAAACGATTGAAACATATATGCATACCAGTAAAAACTAAAAAATTTCCAGGTGTGCGAGTGTTCATTATGAAAGCAAGAAATTTTTTAGCGAACAACAGTTTATTATTTCAACATGAAATATTTAGGCTCGCAGGAAACGGACATATATTTTTCATGTCGGTTCGTAAGTGTTATTTAATTTATTATTAGGCATTATGTTCCATATATATATATATATATATATTCTATATATATAAATATTATGTTAATATTATGTAATATATATTATATAATATATATTATGTTCCTTATATATAAATTTCATTAATCTTCTACTTTTAGAAATATGTATCATATTAATTTATACAATTCTAGAATTAATATACATTTGATTAAAACATAATACTTATTAGACGATCGTTTGATTAAGATTGGCGAATTTTAAGAAACTCTACATTTACTTACGTGCTTTACAATAATATTTTAACTGATAAAAATTGCTGCATGTGCATTTCTCGACTGCAATGCGATTAAATCTTATGGTCACCGGATTTCTCGTCGTCGCTCAAAGGCAGTGATAAGTGGACGGAGAGGAAGAATAAAGGGGAGCCGAAGGAACCTCGAAGATGGAGGAGGTCCTGTTGCCCACACGTCGAGAGCGAGTGCACTCCAGTAAAGTATTATCTCGAGAAAAGAAGAATGGTAATCCTTCTTTCGCGCGCTTGCAGATCTTAGAGTGTAAACGTATAATGCGATTTAAGTCGCGATAGAAGCCTTTGTATGTCAGCAATATTACAAATAAAATTCAGAAAATGGAAGCAGATAAACGTATACATTATAAAAAGGAAATATGAAGAGTGACATAGAAACTAGAGAAAATAACAGAAGAGAGTAATATTTCTAAAATTAGAAAAATCTCTGGATTATATTTAAAAAAAATGGTTTCATATTTGCCAAAAAATTAGGTAACAATTAAATACTGTCTTCAGTCTTTTGTACAAAACTTATTTCTGGATTCTATATATCAATTTACATACATATACCTATATATATATATATATATATAAAATTCATGATATAGAGTTTAAAATAAAATATAATAAATTTTCTTTTATTCTCTTTCTTTATAAAAAATATGTGCATTTTGCATAAAATCCGATCAACGTGTTTACTAGAAAAAAATTATCAACATGTAGATACGCTTGAGAAAATGATGTTTTATTATTATCCTAGTGACAACGTGAAAATTAGTCTGAGATCAAAGCACATGCGATAACAACTCGCGTGTAGTCCTTAAATATATGTATATTCGCACTAACTTTTCATCGTTACGGTCCCCCACTGTATAACACTGATGAAAACTGTCCTGAAAGTTTGTTGCATACTGCTCAATGGGGAACACGTCCACCAACAGAGATTCCAGTAGGTTAACTTAGTTAAGCACGGCTGAATATCAAAGGTTAACGTGAGAATCTTATCACGTGTAACAACAAAAAAAAAAGAGACGAAAGAGAAAAGTTTACATTAAATCTAATGATTTTCCAAAGAAGTAAAGGCACAGTTTCAGTTATACAAAGCACAATTCCACTTCAGTGGCCCGGAAGAGAATTGCATTATCCAGTAATTATCTTATGACGACTTCGGTCTCTCTCTCTTTCTCTCTATCATCTTATTACTTCCCAAAACTTTAATGTCTTAAATGAATCCGTATTGTATTCATCCGCAAATCGATTTCAGCACTTGATATCAAGTAGCGACGAATGATTGAACTGTCACTTAATAAACTGTCACTTAGTAAACTTAATTAAATACACGATGTTGGATGCTCGTGTTACGTCTAATTAACTTAGTTTGCAATGCATATTTACTTAAAATATATAACGCATATTAAACTTTTAATTAAACGTATAAATAGACAATTATAATAGCAGCAATAATAAAATTTTATCAATAAAAGAATATTAAATAAAGAAATTAAATAATGCAATAAAATAAATTTTCTTGCATCTATATACATTGCGTACTTTACACAAATTCTTTTTAAAATTAAAATATCAATTAGTGTATTACATGTTTTTTTCTATTTAATAATTTTAACTGGCTAAAGTTACCCGTAAAATCATCAGGCGCTAATTACATTACTAATTTCTAGCCGCTTTATTTAATTTACATATTTAATGTGCTAATTACCGCTAGTCCCATATACGAGAAATGTGGTTAAGTTATTACGTAATTTAACCGGTTTTAGTAAATGCAGTAAATAGTACATATACATTACCGAGTGCAAGGTAAGGATTTGGACAAGACGTTTCTCTTTGCATTGCTACATTTTTTAGATATCAGAAAATCTATAAATATTAATAACAAAAAGAAAAAAAGACGGTATTAAAAGATGTCCGGATGGGAAAACAACAGAAAAACTTTGAAAACATAAACTTTGAAAAGAGTCATAAATACTTAGAACTGTAAATAACATTATTCTTTAGCTTTCATTGCGTACATTTTACGAGATGTATATCGCGATACATGTCTTGCTTCGAGAACTAAATATTAATCTGCATTACATTGACCTGGAGAACTAAATATAGAGTATGAGATTGATAGTGATTTTATGCATGCTAACAACTTTGAAAGTAATATGCAAAACGGTCTCACACAGAGGACAAAGAAAGAGGCAAATTATGCGGAAAAAAGGATCAACTATCACTTTGCGTTGCAAAACTGCGAGATATTACGTGCAATACAATGATGTACAATCGTCTTATTAAATTTCGTTAGAAAACGATTAAAATTTCATATATATGCAATGCATAAACTCACCTCGAAACTGAGAAGCCCGCTGTGATCCTGGTCCAAAGTATTAAAAACGTAATGGGCGTACTGACTTGTATTGGCTGCAAGAAGACAAACATTTAAACTTACAGAATTAAAAATTAAAGCAATTCAAATAGAATTCGGTCCAAGACAAAGAATTTGTATTTCGTGAAAAGGAACTCGCATCGGATATGCGAACAAACAATACTTGAATTTCTGCACTGGTTCGACTTTATTGAAGCCAGAATACTTCTCGATATTGATTTCGTAAGGAAACAGAAGTATACCGTTATAATATAAAAGCATTTCAATCTGCCAATAGATATATATACATATACGTAATGGACTTGAACAAAAATCTACAGAGACCGTCGAATCTGTAGATCGTAAACTGAATATCCATCGATGTATGTTAATAACTTCCGGTCGAAATAACGCGAATACTTCAAATATAAAATGGAGATTTATATAGGTCACACACAGAAATTATTACATCATATATATCCGTGCTGTGCCGATTGCACCTCTTTTACTATTCCCGGTAAGATTTATCATATAATGATTTGACAAAAGGATTGAACAAGACATACTACTTTTTAAAGCGGCGATGTCCTGCCGCCATTGTACTAAGTATAGCATATATGCAGCAATTTCTAAGAAAGTTTCTCTTAATTGCGAATTTAAAAATTTATATTTGTTAATTGTTGAAGATTACCACTACTACGGCTCATTGTTCTTAAAAATTATCAAGCTTATACTGTATAAATATTAATTATTAATATCATATTGAATATCAAAATTTCTATTACAACAGCAAAAATTATTGAGTTAATCAATATTCTATTAAAAGAAAACTTCTTTCATTATAATAGTTTTTTAATAAAAGGGAAAGCAAATTAAAATAATTTTTTGTTCCCTTTTTTCTATTTCTTTTAAAAAATAGTTCTTGATAAATAATAAGTCAAAAATATTAATAAAAAAATTTGAACATTAATAACATTAATAACATATACTTTTTATTATGTACATAAATAACAACTATTGAAAATTGTCTTATAACAAGAGACGTATTTCGGATATTGCAGCAGAGTGGTAAATATCAAATTCGAATTGTCTATTATAAGTAAGAACTTTGGGTCTGGATTCTCATCAAAAGGATTCGCTTGAAAATTTGTAGCAGTTCTCATTATACTTCAGACATACTGAGACGTCATCGGGAGCTTATCGCGAAAGACCGGGACGTAAAGTGTATTAACTTGTTCTCTAAGTTCCGTAATGTTTGCGAACTACGTGCTCGTGGAAAATGAACTCACTCGTAGAGAAATGCAAAATTCGAAAATCAATTGTCTTCACTTGAAAATGTTCATAACTCTTATAAAATATACTGAAAGTACGTATACTTTACTTTGATACACAAAAGATAATTAAAACATTGCAATAATAAGATTAAGTTACATGAAAATTCGTACGTTTTTATTTGATTTTTGTACAATATTCTTTGTGCTTGTTTAAGAAGTACTTTTTTTAAGAAAAATAGTACATTCTATTCACGATGTTTTCCCCAAGGAGGTGAGATCAGATCTTAGATGTAATAATTTCTCTATTGTGACAACTAATTACTAAACAATGCAAAAACATAAGTCGTTTTTAAAATAAGTCGTTTTAAAATGTAGTATTGCTTTGTATGCTTTTATTTGTATCGCTTTAAAATTTGATGTATTGGCGAATTAATACATCTTTCCCTATACTTCAGATTGACATAAAAATTAAAGAATAAATTTTTTATAATATAAACAAGGCTTTACATATAACAAGGCTCTTTAAATTGAATTATTAATTAAATATATTTTATTTGTATGATGCAAAAATATCTATTATTTTAATGCAAATGTATAATTAAAATAACTCTGCATATATTTCTTGATGATTATAGAATCTAATAAGGTTTTATGTTGCGTACCACACTGTTAAATAAGGAAGATAAGCCATAGTTATACTCCGCGCACACAACTACTATCGGAACGTCCTCGGAGAATTACGAAGTTGCAATCTCCGGGTGAAGGGTCACGTATTTCACACCTTGAGTCATATATATCTATAAATCCTGCATGCACAACGTATAAAGTTATGCTCAATCGTATATATATATGTACATATACGATGTATATATACATATATATATATATACGGTTGAGCACAGAATAAAGCTATCTTCGGGACAATGTATAATATGTTTTAAATTATCTGACTTGTTTTATCAAGAGAATATTTTTCATGTACAAGAAGAAAGTACAAGATATCAAATACCAAGCAGACTGTTCCACTTTTAAAATTTTTACGCGATTATGTCGCAATTGCTGTAATCCTGTTCCTAATCATTCGTACATAAATGTTAATATTATGCAAATTATGTTTTGCCATGATATTGTTAATTCCTACATATTTATATGATGTTTTAGAAAGAAACAGAATATATTCTCATATAATATTAAATCTATTTCTCATATATTTCAGACATTTCATATATTTCAGAGATTCAGATCTATTTCTCAGATTTCAAATTTCTTCATACGTGAATGCACAGCTACATTTTAGGACGCCGTACATAGCTGCGCAAATCTGAAGACGTAGAGAAGAGATGTATTACTTCGAAAATACATCAAGCAAGCACAGGAAGCAAGCGAATTGCTCCGCTTTTGTTTGAACTAACGAATACGAATCGTGAATCGTTATCTCGGGTGGAGGAGTGAGATTTATCGCGATGCCATAATTCACCTATTCGACTTTTGACTGTCGAGGCAGAGATCTCCGTAATGTTCCTTTATTGCGTCGGCCCCGTATTCGATATCAGAGGTATAAATTTCGCGTGCTGAACTGCACGCGCGAGTTTCGACTACCCTCTTGGGTTTTGCCGGAAGGGTTTTAGATAAGTATAAACATGTCTACCCCTGATAAAGGACATGGTCGCGAAGAAGGGCCCTATCGACCATTTATTGCGGTAGCTTTTATGACTATTTCTTTAAACGATTCTTTTTTTCAAAGATCTCAATTGTAGAAAGCACATTAATAAATACACGGGAGATAAAGAAGAGACTTCTATAAAATTTTTATAATTTTTGAGACGCGATAGCGGAATATTCGTACTTATATTTCTCGTATATCCCGTATTTCTACGCAATGAAAGTCACAGTAGAAAATTACCTCGATTTTTCTTCTTTAAAATAAAAGTACATGGCTAACAAAAGCCTCGGTGGGCAAACTATCTAAAGCAGCATTACGAATGGGGTCTAATTGAAACCTTTAATTTAATGACCATGCCGCTGTTCTGTATTGTCCTTGCTTGCCCAACTGCTCGATTTATATTTAATTAACAAAGCGCAATAAATAAGCCGGCAAAATGTTCTTTCTGTAATTTAAAAGGAGGTGGAAACTTCGATTGCATACTTTGCTTTTCTTTTTTTGACGGAAAAATTGTGTAAGTACCAGAGAATTCGTAATTAATATATTTTTCAAAGGAATATTTTCAATATTTCTGTATTCTTCTAAAAAAGTTTTATACAGTACGGTATTTATCTCTTCTGTCGGCACACGATGCAACGCCGTTCGGTAAAGAGGAACATAAATTGCTGTAAATTGTAAAATAGTAGGCGTTGAAGATAGACGGATGCCTGAAGCGTCGTCTGTTCGGAGATCTTTTTTCAAGGATTTTGGTCTTGATCGCTCGTAAATTTGCGATCGACCCTTCTTTTACGTCAGGTGGCAAACAAATCATGATATCAATCGACATTGTGCCTGCGGGTATGAAATCTGGCTTTTTGTCGACAATAGGAAGCTTTAAACATCTTACGCTACTGTGAGCTTTTACAACTGCTTTGAAAAGTTTACGGTCTCGTTTTTTTTTTATTTTGCATTTATATTATAGATTATTTTAAACAAATATTTTAATTTTTCAACAAACAGAAATTAAAGAACGTCGGGCTAATAAAGCCATGTAACAACGAATCGTTCGAATTAATTAAGCAAACAATTTGCCAATCGTGAGAGAAGCTGTAACGAATATTTAGTGGTTGTAATACTTGATGTTCCCATATCACGGCGAAGTTAATTGTTTTTAGTTAAAATGCGGTGCGACGGATGTAATTTCCGAAAATGCGAATTTCATCGTGTTAATGCGCGGTATGCGCGTAGTCATGGATAACCATATCTCTCACGCGGATAAAAGCGAACATTTGAAACGCAGTGCCACTTTGATCTGGGGAGTTCGCGTTGCCATGGCTACTGCAACCGCGTTCAGCGAAGGGCCGCAGTACTCCCGGTTGTTGGATTGTTCTCTTTCCCTCTTCATGTTGATGCTTTTCGACGCATCCCCGATGCTGCCGTCGCAACGAGGAAATTTAAATGCGAATAAATGCGCGGCGAATAAATAAACCGGACGCTATATCCGTCGTCGTTCTTTTGGCAAAATAAACATCCCTTCAGTTTCCGGAAAATTCTTCCGCGTCGTTAGATAAAAATCTTTGTGTTTGTTAAAGACACATGTACTTGGAAAGAATAATAGAAAACGCTATTGTTGTTAATTTTCTATTGCAAGATGCATTAAACCATTTATTAAATACTAAATAGAAAAATAGACTACGTAAAAATGTAATAATGTTATCTTTATAATTAAAAATACGGATATTTTCTCCTTTCTCTCCCCCCCCCCCTCTCTCACTATCTTCCTTTTTGTAATTTTATATTAAGATAATTATAACAAATGTGTGAGTAATACATTTCCATTAAATTTTGTATGATATTTTTCGAACAATCTGGTGTTTTCAAAATATGACTTTCCGCAATAATCAGAAATGTGCACGTTTTTTGTTAAAATATTTAACTACATCGTAAAAGTTCTACTCGCATGGCATCTATCTCGTGATACGGTATATTCGCATTTTTTGTAGGAGAAAAATTCTATTCGGCTGGCACGAGAGATGCTCGCATACCACGTAAAAACATGATACTGTTACTTTCTCTTCCATTACCAGCTTTAAGTGGTAAAATGTATGTAATGGCTAGCTAAATACTTTCATTCATTAGTTAAAAAATAGGGGAACAGAAAGCCGTGTTTAATAGTTTTACGTATTTTGTATTTTAATTCAATTATTATATTATTAAAAACAACTTAATTTTTGCATTGTTTAGTAATCAGTTGTCACAACAGAGAAATTATTACATCTGAAATCTGACCTCACCTCCTTGGGGAAAAAACTGTGAATAGATGCACTTGAAAGTATCCTCTCTGACGACTCCCGTAGGACATTCAGCCTTGAAGCCGCGATATATCCTCTTCAGTTCAGCCTCTGTGAATCTGGTCGCTCGACAAAGGCTCGCTAAGGAGTCTGGCCTGTACCTCGGTATTTGCTCTTCCTCGTATTCCGAGTCTGTGAAATAAAAGCAGAGCTCGTGTTAATCACGGAAAAGAAATCGGCAAATTCCGTTCATGTATCGCGAATCCGTCGAACCGATAGAAAGCTCTAACAAGATTAAAGAACTTTGCTGAAAGCTTAAGACGAAATACTACGTTTTACCGGGAGATCTTATAGAAGCAGATACGAGTAGCGCAGTTATCGGTGTGATATTTATAAAATGGACGAGGAACAAGCTATTCAACAAAAAATCTATACCGTTCTACAATACATTCAATGAATACATCTTTCAAACGATATCTTTTTTAATCTTTTAAATAATCAAAAATGTATAGTAACAATTAACTTTTACGTTTATATTCTTAAATAATATCGCAACGAAGGAAAATATTTAATGTTTTTTAGAGATTTTTAAGTTATTATTAATGCCAATATCACAAACACATAAACAGAAGAGACAAATAAGTATAAAGTTTCATAATATAGAATAGACTGTAGATATTTTGTAATTTATTGCTGTCATATACGAGAACTGAGTATGTAAAATTTGCGAAATAACCCTGGACCGGCATACCTATCTTTTTCAGACGTTATTGCCGCACCAAAATCCGATAAAACTTGACATCGCTTCCCTGCTACTATATTTCAGTTCTCTTTTTTTTTCAATGTGCGATACATCAATCGATGTGGGTATATAAAGCCCGGATTCGACGACACATTGCAGTCGCGAATAGAAATCTGAGATTGAATTGCAAGATTCAAACTCCCGTGTGATATTGCAATCGTACAGTGTTATGTCACACAGAAATTTCGAACTCCGTGATTTATTCTTAGGTACTAATATTTAATTTATTATTTGTTTCTAGTTAAATAAAAATATATTTAACGTATAATAAAATTTTCAAAATTATAATTTATATTTGTTAGAACAATGCATATTTCAAAAATGCAATCAAGTTTTAAGTATATTGTGCATGCAGCAAGTGCAAAACCTATTAGATTTTGGTGTGTCTATTAAAGTTTAACAGCATTTACGTTAACTTTATGATTGAGTTTGAGAACAAAGCATTTGAAATAATTGCTTCATTATCCAAGGGCAAATTCGTGAATTTCATATAATACTTTGTACTAAAATTTTGGTTTATCACGCCGATTTTTTTTATATTTATTTAATTCTCGCTGTCGCAGAGATTAATGAAACGTGTAGTAGCTTACGAAATCTTTGGAATGTATTGCAATTCATAAAGTTTCATAGAATATGCGAGTGACGGTGCCGCATTACTGCACCTTATTTCCCATGGGATAGTCCTTTTTATCTCTCGAAAAGGCCGTCGAACTTTTAAGAAACCTGAATGTGGAATGACCTTCGGTGCGGTAAAGCACAGCGTTTATGAGACCGGTACTGAAGCGAGATGCGAGCAACCCCAAGATGTGCTCGACGAGATTTTGTAAAAATTGCTCTTCCTTGTAGTTTGAAAGCCATCCGTTCTATATCTCATGCGGCTCATGCAATATTTATAAGATTTCATTCAACGTCGCGACGTTACGAGATCAAAGATTGAGGTGAATTTTCGAATCGCTTGCCAACCTGGCAATCGAAGCAGCATATGACAAATTTACGGACTATATTTCGCAAATATTGCTGTCACTAAAAAATTGCAATAATAATAGAAAGTAAAATTCATGTAAATATTTCTCTCTTTTTTTATTTTTATGAAGTTTAAATAAAAGATTTAAATACAATTTTTCTGTCGAGTATGTAGGAGGAGAAAAAAATATAAATTCCTTGATAAACGAGGACACTGAATATATGCGTCGTAGAATATGAAATAGCAAATATACATACATTTCTCTTCAAATGTATGTAATAATCTTAAATTTTGGGCTCACATTTACAAGAAAAAATTCTGTAATACAAAGACGTTGCTCGTACAGTATATATAATTCATTTATTTTAAAAGAAACACAAGTTCAATACAATTACAAATTTGCAATATCATAATTACTATAAAAATCAATATAGTGTATTAATTTCGGCAAGCTTTTATATAAAATTGAGTTTTATATTACCTTCTCAAAATAAACGAGATATTTGAATAATTAGCAATTTAGTTTTCCACGCCGATTATTCAAAAAGAACATTAACATGCAGTTAAAAGAAAGAAATGATAAAAAATATTCTATTATTTGAACAATTTTCTATAAGTAATTAATTGTTAAAATGTACACCCGAATAGAATTCAGAAATTTCAGAACAGACAGAATATAATAGCTTTGTAATGTCGTTGAAAGAACATTGTTAGACTTATGCGATGAAAATATTTTGCATTGTATTTTTTTAGATGGAAAACGAATTTTCGTTATTCCATCCGATATAAGCGACCTGAATGAAGTGATTTCGCAATAAATTCCTTCCACATGGTGAAACACTGCCGCGCGTAGAAGTGCACAGTGGAAATCGAAACGTATCGTGCATACGATACCGTGCTCTCATACAACGCGGAAGATCAGGGCGAAAAGAGAGATATTTTTGCACATCGCTTCCACACACATACACGGAAGCTTACTGTTATATTTTCCACAGGCGAGGTTACCGTAAGTCGGAAGGCGGGAAAGTAATCCAGTGTGTTGGAATTTAAATCGAATTGTCTTGTTCCGACAGGCACTGGATTTCTCAGATTCGATCTACAGACAAATGTGACGCAGGAAATAAAGGGCAAACGAGACACGCCGAAAATTGGTGCGAAATTCTCTCTCTCTCTCTCTCTCTCTCTCTCGCGCGCGCGCGCGCGCGCGCGCGAAGAGAACAATAACAAATGCTCGGGAAGAGAACATCTGGTGGGTATTTGTATTACAACTTCAGTAATTTCGTTGGGAGTTTATGACAGCGTGAAATCAACTAAGAAGAATACGCTTACGTCAGAGAATTTTGCAAATTTCCACTGTTAAATCGCTGTTAAAATTTCTAAAAACAAGTATTTTAATCAATTGGAAAAATTTTTAATCTAAATCATTAGGTAGCAGTTACGTCGCTACAATTTATCACGCCTCATAATTATTATCCACGATAAGAGAACCGTACAAACACGGCATAAAACAACAAAAATAACAATTTTTAATTTAATATAAGAGCGGATCTTTCTCTTCAGTTAGCAACTCAGTTCCGCAGAATTTTAAATATTACTTCTACTTCTTTATTTTCTGTAAAAACAACATGTTGACCATCGCAGAGAGGAAAAAAACTCCAAATTTAATCTAGACGAGGTTGCTTTCGTACTTCTCTCCTTTTTCGTGTCATATTCTCTTTAAGCAAAGGGCCGGTTTGACCGAGCGTAAATAGGGTCAACGGCGAGGCAACATCCGTTCGACCCTACGTCTCATTCCGGACGATGGTCTGGCTGAGATGAAGACCGAATTGTGGGGACTTCGACGTTCCTCTTTCGAGATATTGAATTTGTGCAAGGGATGAAAGGCATTCCTCTCGGAATGTGCATCCGTTGCCGTTGGATAGGCAGGATGCACATCGGTCTCTGTTTCTTGATGAAAGGCTGAACTATTGGAGTTTCCGTCAATGCGTTCATCGACAGTGATCCCGCAGGAATCTATTATACGCAAGCAAATTGAATGAGAGTATTCAGCTGTTTGTAAATGATTTCAGAGAGACCGAGATAGGCTTTTGTACATGCATTTCCTTCATAAATCGCGTGATTCTGAATGGTCTGGAGAGAGAGATCGCGCGATACAAACATAAATAAGCTAGCAAATTATGAAAGTTCTTGCTATTTAATTATGTTTTTTTAAAATTGATCACAAAATAGCTTGAATTTAAAGAAAAATTTTTCAATCTTACCGTTTTATTCTTACACATTGGAATTTGTAAAAAATGAATAATCATAGATTATATCAATATTTGGGCTTTTCAGGTTAGCTAGATGGAATTTTGCATAATCAGATTAATTTATGCGACATCTCGTATAGTCTTGTCTTTTTTAAACTGGCCTGGGTATCGAGAAGGAAATATAATTATATTGAATAGAAATTCTACTGAATTTTCGTACACATTTTTGTTATTAATATGTACCTATAATAAATGACAATTTTCATAAAGAATTTATTATTATTAAGTATCATTCTTGTTTTTAATTTCAATAAATTATGACTCTTTATTATAATAATAAATTATATTCAACAATACATTGTTCAATCATAATTTTAAATGTATAATAGACTTTATTTTCATATAAAATGTAACAAAAATAAAAATAAATATAAATGTTTAAAAAAATGTAGAAAGTTTTTACTGTAATAAATATAAGCAATTAAGCAAAATAATGATGTCATGTTTCACAAACAAAAATATTTGCGAAAATAATGTATTTAGAAGCAACGTAGCTTTTTTATTATAACATATTTTAATAATTTTAAAAAATGAAATTAAAAATTTTCTTCTTTACCTCTAAAATAATTATGCTTAAAATAGATATAAAAAACTTTTATATATAGGTACATATACTGATTTTTATTATTATTGGTATTATTATTTCAAGGCGCGTACGTTTCAAATATAAAAATAATTTATGTCTGTTGACGCATTTCAAATTACGTCAAATAATTTTAATGAAAGATATAAATGACTTTCTTTACGATTAATTAACTTTGTTAACATGCTAAAATCTTTTTCAAGCATTAAATTCACAGTGCTTATTAAAAGTGCACACAGTGCTCAGCTAACAATTCACGTGGCCGTGGCCGTTTTACAATGTGCAACCATCGCGACGTAAAATTCCATCGCTCCGCCGTTTTCACTGCAATACATTTTATTCTCATTCAAATGCAACCGCAATCAAACGAAACCTGAATTATTATGTGGTTGAGTGCAATCTATACCGCATACCTCTTAATATTTGACTACGGTTGTATCTAAAATATAAATGCAGTATTAACATGTTAGAATTATCGCGCTCGTAAAATATTAAAATAAATAAAAAAATATTAGCCTCTACCTACCTATTTAAATTAGTAAATTAACATTGTTCGAAATAGAGAAAAATATAACAAATTTGGGCAATGTTCTTTATAATTTTGACAATGCACCTTGGTATAAATATAGCTTTGTAACTACATTGTATGTGTAACATACCAATAATTTACTTATTTAAAACTGTTATAATACTAGATGCACGAATGTGTACAAATATAATAATTATTAATACTATTTACGCGTAGGACATTAATGTGTATTATAAGCTTTAGTCGAATATAATTCATTTTATGGTGCGCTTGCAATTATTGCGAGAGAATATATAACCTTTATATACATTTTCTGCATAAATGCAAGAATTACTTTTGCGTCCAACTATTATTAATCTAAATTATGAAAATCTTTATAATTACAGGAAATAAATTTCTCACATATTTTAATGTCTAATGTTCTTCAAAACTTTAATGTTCTTCAATATTTTAATGAAATGGGAGAAAATAAATTAATTAAACGTGTATTACACACTGTACATGACATCAATGTAATTGACAAACAGATTTGTCTAATGACAAACATAAATTAAAAATTATTATCTGCTTAATCAATTAGCTAGAATTCACGAATATGTGTAATACACTGTACTGAGCATGTTTTTACAATACCGGTCGGATAAATGTCATTCTAATAAAGTTATGGTTGAGAGCAACCGACAGATAACAAATGCAAGGCAAGCGTTTGCCGACGGTATTTCACCGTCCTTCGCACTGATACGTCGTACGGATGACGATGTTGGTTCCAGATATTTCCCTCATAAATTTGTTTGTGAAAATGTAATTTGCGGATGGGACCGCACCTGGACAGTATGAATTTTCATGAAGTTGGCGACCCCGAATCCCCAGGATACGTTGCGTGAATATACCGTCGGTCTCCGGAGTATTGCGTGATGAAAGTACGCCTTTGGCGACCGCGGGATATGTGAAACAATACCATAAGTTGACTGTGAAGCTCGCTACGTATGGTAATATAAATATAAATATTCGATGGTTTGGAGAAATTTCAATCAAGTTAAAATATTTTTCATCTCACACTATCCTTGAGTGATATTTCACCCTCGGGCTGATAGTCATTTTTGATACGTTCAAATGGATACCCTCAATATACGAAAATTGAAGATGTTCGAAGAGCTCCTTTTCTCATCTTCTTCTACACCCTCTCCTGAAGTCTTATATGCAGTAACAGCGGCATACAACAGTTAACTTTAACTACATACTTTTTACTATTTTATGCGCATAATAAACGATTATGCGCAACATTTTCAAACGTGCTGCGTGAAGTTTTGATAGAACATTATATTTTATTTTTGAAATTATCGATCATTATGTTAAAATGTATTACGATTCACTCAGAAAAACTTATTCCATCACATATAAATTTATGTTTAAATATAAAAAATATTCTAAGTTAATATTATTAACATATTTCAAAATACGTGTGTATCAGTGACGTAAAAATCGTCTTTTTATTTCACTGATGGAGGTTGATAAACTTATTAGTACAGAGTTATCAACTACTCTAGTTTATCGGAGGATCCGAGTTAGGTCGATCGAAAAAAAAGGAAATAATTTAATGAAAAGGCAAGCAAACTACGTAGGTGCAAGTATCATGCAACATAGATGGCCAGTAAGACACGTGAGTAGCGTGCAGTGTTGGTTAAAGCGGAAAACCCTGGAGGCCTTCACGTTTCACGAACAAGTACGCGAGTCACTCTTTTACTGGTTGTCCAATAGAAAACAGCATATAAGGCACACTGACGTCGGTTCATCGAATATATCTCACGTTCATAGAGCGTAAAATGTTATTCCCATATGATTTTTCGATTCTTGAATACATCCGAAAAGAGAAAAGTCGCTTCTTTCAACAAAGTATTTTTCGCATATGTACATATAGAGTTGTTTCATGAATTTATCGCTGCCAGGTACATCCGTTTATGTTAATAATTTTGTATGTATGTACGTGATACTATTCATGTATACACAGAATATAATACATACAATTAAAGCAAAATTGAATGAATAATCAGTTTAATGAACTTGTCACTACATCCTTTTAATTAATATTATAGAGCTACGACATTGAAAATTACATTATTTTAGAGTTTCATCTAAGAATAAAAATTACAAAATATACGAGTGTGATATGAGATGTATTAAATACCTACACAATTCTATTTTTCACATCTACTCGAATATTTTTTAGGTACCTATAAAGTTTTCAGTTTAAAAGAATTCACAACAAAAAATTCATTTCCTGCGTAAGGTATAACAATAACTTCTACATTGATAAATCTGGCACAAATAATACCTAGGGCGAACTTGACGCCGGTCCAGGCTTGCCTCACGTAGTTGATTAACCTCCTGTAGAGAGGCCTTGGTGGTGGTCTCTTGGTGGAAGTTCCCTCCTCCTCGCTGTCGTTATCCAGCGTTCCCGGCGGCGGGCCTACGCCCGACAGGGTGCCAGCTTGATTCCTCTTGCCGAGAATGTTCACGACCTCCCGCAGCCCAGGCGCAACGCCCTGCAGTCCTGGTGCGTAATTCGCGGGGGCGACGCCGGAACCAAAAAGGTTCGCGCCGCCCCCGCGACCTCTGCCGCGTCCACGACTTCCGCGACTCCAGACACTGACACTGCCTTCGAGAGTTTACAACGCGATCAGATTTCGATACTTTGATCACAGCAATCCGTAGATACTTTTTTATATAAGAGAAATCGAACAACTTAAGATAATCGTTTTTACAGACAATTGCTTGCTGTACGTTCAGTCTTCAAAATGACATGTTCTTAAATTCTAATTTCATGGTTTACAATTTGAAACATGTTATTGTCTTTTTACAACTTAAAGCTTTGATCGTTCCAAACAAAGGGAAGTTGAATTATTTAAAAGAAGAAATTCTTTCTCAACTTAAAATTGTTCAGTTCTTAAATTTATACGATTTTCGAACTCACAAAGTTTATGGTATATATCAAATGACGAAGGGAGATAGTGTTACGACATAATATATAGACATTCTCAAGAGTGCCATTTGCTTTAAATATATAACGCGAATATCACATGTCGTGCGTAAATAATTAATTAGGACATTGGCAAGTTCTAAATTCTTCTTAAAGATACGCCCAATAAAAAAAAATAAATTATAAAAAAAGACTATTATATATTTCTGATTTTATATAAAAATGTAGCTAAATTTAATTTTAATTAACTTTAGTTCGGCATCAAAATATATTAAAGTTTTAAGGCGTTAAATATTTGTAAAATCCATGAAATTTGAAAAACTTCCGTTTCTTCAATGCAAAATATTATGTTTCGCATTTACTTGGTATTCGATTTCTACTCTTCGATTATGATGGAACGCCGTGATACCTTGGCGCTTTTTGTAGGAGGGGAGCCCCACCACGGGGCCGCAACCCCCCGCGCTTCCTGCGACAGAAGAGCTGATGGTGGCAAGACAGGGAACACCCCGACCGCCACCCGTTCGACGTTCCAAATCACGGCGTCTGCAACCGCCGCCTTCACTGCCACCGCCACCCCCGGCGGACAACACCACGACGGACCCAGAGGTACGTTTGCGCGGTCTTCTTCTCGCGGAGCCCCTTCCTACCGACGAAGGCCCCGCTCGTTTACGTCGCCGGAATCGCCGCAGACTTCCACGGGGAATTCTGCAAGGCATTTCATAGGGCTGTCACCCTAGCTCGCACATCATTTTCTTCTCGTTTTATTCATTATAATTTCAACCCTTTTACACGCATCAAATACGTTTTTTTTCCGCGAGTAAATTTCTGCTGTAATTTTACTTTTTTTATTTTTGTCGTAAGTTTGTTATAATTTTATGTAAATATTTATAAATATGCAAAAATCTTAACATTAACATTTTTATAGAATAATATGTTATACAGATTCTTTGTTCGCTTTGATAGTGACTCTCGGTGCGGTCGATTTCTCAATAGAAGCAGTATATATGGACGTGCGATGTCAGCGAATTTTCTTGCTTTTTCCGCGCTTTCCGTGCTCCGTCTGCTTCCGCTAGAAGCAGACTTTCCGGCCAGATACACCTGCCCTCTCGAAATTCACGTTAAATCGTCGACAATTTATAAAAATCGCAATTCAAAACGAAAGAAGCTTTCTGCGCTTGTGCCCATTATAATTTTAATGCATAATCTTTTTACAGAAAGAAGCTTTTCGTTTAACGCGAAGATTTCCAATTATATGTAATTATTAATATTATATTACTTAGCAATTCTGATGTACATACAGTTGTTTGATAGTAATTGACGGACCTGTCAATATCTTATCAAAATGATAATATCAAATTTAACAAGTACTGCGCAAATATATTACAATTAATTTATGTCAGGTTTTAAAGTTTAAATAAATAATACGTTTGACGAAAGATTTTTCTAAAAAGTCTACTAATGCTCACCCCAACACTTCTTCCGACACTTCAAACACCACGTCGCCTATTTCTTGCAGACGTAAAAGACTCAAATCAATTCCCACGATAGAATATCTGTGGACTAGATTACGGTGACCCACGATTTATCTGGTAAATCGACAAATTTATATTCATTGAATGATATGCGGGCTTTCCCCGTCTTGTTCTTTATTGCGCGGAGTGCAATAAACCCCCTTTCACATTCAGGACTTAGGGCGTTGGCGTGAAGCCCTTGGACGAGATCATAATGCTTGTTCTCGAAAGACGTAGTTGGTTAGTGTGTTGTGAATTCGGTTATGTTAGTATCTGAAACAGGTAAAGAAAAAACACATGCATTAGTTGTGTTTGTGCACAAAATTTCGGCCAAATGATAACATACGTCGGTAGGAAAAACAAAAAAGGAATAAAAAAGATGCAATTTTGGAATGTATCTTGATTGTAATAAAGTCGATACTTATTAGTATTATTACGTTCACAGGCATAAGCGATAAATTTCTGTCCACAATGCAAAATAAAGATAGTGACAAACTACTCACTTGAAAGGTATCATTAAAAGTTTTATTTTACAGCTAATCGAAATCTTTGAGAACATGATCTTATTAAAAAATATAAGCAGTTACTTGTAAGAAAGTCTTTTTCGTAAATGCGCTTTTCTTGCTTATTTAACACGAAACGCTATCGCGTTTTCAGATTTAAATTAGTTTCAAAGTATTTTAAAATATGAGAAGAACTTTTAGAGAGTAAAAGCACAAGCATAAGGAAAGATACGGCAGTATTTTATTGTATCTAAATAGTAGTATTTGTCAATTATCTTTTTTTGCATAATTTATAATTTTCATCGGACGTGATAACTACTGTACTAACTTTCAAACTTACCGCATCGAATTGAGGTCAGATCGAAGAGAAATTAAGAGTTAATGAGCTCATTTTTCTGGATTTAATGCGATTTCTATGATGACTGCCTATTAATTCACGTGACAGCGGGTTCCAATTGTCTTAGTGGAGATCGGAAAATATATAGAATTCGATGTTGGGCTCTACCACAATTGCCTCTTTATCTTAACTAGGGTTTAACGACTGACTGCAGTGTGCCAACAATTAACGAGACCACCAATTTCGAAAATTTACGTCAATGTACTTACTTGCGCACTTTACAGTCGTTACAACCCTACCACCAAGTTTCACAAACACACACCGCTCAATATAAGTGAGAGTGATAAAATGGCTACTAGATCGCTCGTAAAGCTACTTGTCCCGTTCAGGCGAAGTTCTTTGAAATTGCTTCGAAACCGAAGAAGTTCCGAGCTCTATGTGCTTCGTATGCATATGTGAGCTTTCTTGGCGATCAAGGATCTATGTAGATAAACGGGGCACGGTGAGTGCCATAATTTTCTAGAGATTTATCGAAAGAAAATGTCCTTAAACTTTTATCTAAAGATTTATTGTTATTGTAAAGAAAATTTAAATGTGCACATTTACTGAAAATTTACTGCATTTTGTATAAAAATACTTTAACATAACTACATAAAATGTTTTAATGTAAATACAATAGCACACACGCACATATTTATTCATATAAATTAATAAAGAATCAAATTTCACTACGTATTTATGATAGCAACGTTTGCAGAAAACCGTTAATAGTTATTGAAGTTATTGAAGTTCGGTAGTGCAATCGACTCGAAATTGATAAAACCGTAATCAATTTCGCGTTATTATCAAGTAGACGGTGGAAACTGCGTTTCGGTATTGCCATAACTCTTCGCGATACCGCGAATGAAAGAGAGAAGTGCAAAATGAGAATAAGCTCGACGGCCCAGGATAAAGTTCAAGCAGTTTCGTGAGTTTGAACATTTTCGAAGAGAAAGGAAGCAACTACGAAGAAAAGAAATGTATCAAAGTCATGCATCCCTTATCTAAATATAACTCATCGCATGATGGCTCGTTGAAAGCAGAGATAAACTTATATATCTTTCGGTACATAAAAAAAGGCCGAGATTGATATTTACATCCGTAAGTTTTACGATTCTACCTAGGTCTCTCTTTGTCATTCCTCGGCTGCATTACAGGGAGGAAACTCCTAAACTCCTACATAACTCAATAAAATATGGAAAGAAATACATCTTTCTGATTGGGAAAGTAATACAAGTGGAAGTATAGATAAGTACGTATTTCCGATATAAGAAAAGATTAAATCTCTTGTAGATATACTCATATGAATATACTACGGCGTAAGAAATATAAAATTCACATAAAAAAGACGTGTTGAAACGTAACGCTGCAAATTTTTATGAATAATTTTTATCATCTCTCTTCAGAAATAAAATTAAGTCTACAAATTATAATTTTCGTTCACAATATGCTGTGTAAAAAATAAAAAAAATTAATTTATTTGTATTTAATCTTAAAGTATTTAATTTTAAAGGTAATATGCTCGTTGCGTTGTTTGTCACTAATCTGGCCATGACTTTATCGTTAAGCGTGAGTAAAGAATTATGTTCCTTCTTTACTTATGTATCTCAAGTTCCATTAATATGTGTCAGAATATGATGAGCAATTACTGCGGTTCTCTGCGGTGTTGCGGATAAGAGCACGTGCTTATTTTGCTACCTTTGTAACAGGCTCCGTGACCTTTGGAGCTTATATCGAGTTAGTTGAAGACGCGATTGTAGTAAAGTGACGTAAGGCAACGTCTAGGAAGCTTTTGACATCGTTGGATGGCCCGGCATTACCATGTTCATGTCACGTAACTACAAGAATAGTCTGTCCTCTAAAAAAAGAATCGTGTGGCTTATCAAATCCGTTCATCGATTACAATTTTTCTTTTCACCCTTATATATTATCTCCGATTTAGCTGAATGTGGCCTGTGTTCGAATTCTAAGGACATTAGGATAAAATATAAAAAAATATGAAATCACGTATGCTATATGTGAAAATTGGTTTATGTGTATAAAAGCTTAAATTTTTAAGAATATTTTCTCAAGAAAGTTGAGAAAATATAATATAATAAGAAAAGTGAATTTCTTATTTAATAAAAAATCTCTCTTATAATAAAAAAAAATGAATTTCTTAGAAAAATAAAATAAAACGTTAGATGTATGTATGTACATAGTATATTATGTTAGCTATAATAATAACAATAAATCAATCAGAATAATGAAATAAATTGACATTGTTATCTATTATGACAATACACTAGAATCAAAACGTAAAATTTTATCTCAAATTTTGTTTAAATTAATATTGATAATATAATTTATTTAAATAAAAATATTAATAATATGATTGACATATCCTCATAAAATAATAGTGTTACGTAGCTGAAAATATATCTCGCTTTTGATTATATCGAACTATCTTTATATGCCACGTAACGTCAACATTCTTCTGGAGAGCAAACATTCCATCGAGTCTGATCTAAAAAGAAGCTCTTCCACTCGTCGCGGCGTCGTCGTTGTAGACCAGAGTGCCATCCAAAATCTACTTTTATCTCCTGGGGCGACCATCCCTTCACATTACTTCGTTTCCCCTAAGTTTTACCTCACGACCATCTCGATTGGCCACTTTTCTTTTCTTCCAATTTTCGTCCTGGTTTCTCGGATTCTTCCCGATGTAGCTCTTGGCTATGAGCGTTAGGGAGAAACTAAGAGAGAGAATCCAAAAAACGAGGAGAAACTAACAAACCAAGAGACACAAATGAATCGAAATGCAGACTTTGTAAAGTAGATACAATCTTGTGCGACGATAGGAAATGATGGGAAAATTAAAAGATGCTAGATTATATATCGCACAATAAAACAATAATTTTAAAAGAATGATTTAAAGGAAACAATACTTTTCATATGCTATCTTTCAAAATTCATCGTAATAAAAATCTTCATTATTTTTTTTTGCGCGTTGAGATTTTTGTAATTATATTTTTCTAATTAAATCTCTCGCACATACTAATACAAAAGAAATAATTAGAAATATTTAGGTAAATTTACACATATTTAATAACATAATACATGTAAGGTCGATACAAAAATGAGAATATATTCTCGTAAGGGGATTACTTCGCATGCCTACGGATGACAAGCGCTCCATGTCAATGTAACACAACATTGTCCCGACGTCCTCGTGACGTCAACGCATTACACGGAGATGCGTCGCCGTGTCAGATAATCCGAAATAGACTTAGTATCCATAGATCACATCTCTGTACTCTTGTCGCGGCGCACGTTGGCCTGTCTGCTCGCATTTCGGCGTGCCCTTCTGGTCGTCGCGATAAATCAGGCTTTAAACTCCCCCCCGGCCTTATATACGTGCGATGAACGAAGTCGACCGTGAGTAAGAGCTGGGACCGAAACTCGTCCCCTTCCGCGAAGACCGAGTCAAGAAGACGACCCGCCACTTCCAACAAATCTTCCGCGATCGTAGCGTCTTTTACGGGGTGGGTCCCGGCGGTGAATAGAGCAGGAAGAGTCGAGCCTATAATTTTCAGCAGACCTGTCCCGAAGAACACGGAGATACCGCACGTGTACCATAGATTCGCGGTACGATTTACATCGCAGATACGTCACGTGCATGTAAGTTACGCCATATAGCGTAGCGTTTCACTAAAGCTGGGCGACTTACCGCGCATAAATTAGTCCACCTCGAAACGTGAAGCGCAGTTAGGTAGAATACATAGCCTGACGTGGCGCCCGCACCAAATCCACCGTCTTTAGTAAATGCCGATCGAGTTTACCCCTTAGGAAGCAGCTCGTTTGCCCCTCGAGAAGCGCAGAGTATCGACCCCCCCATTATCCTCCGTCTTCGTGCACGCTTATCTCTATGCTCGCGAATAATTTATTTCGAAATTAACAAGAGTCCCCATTCGATCCTCCCCAAAATAGCTAATTCTTACCTAATATTTATTTTAGCACCATCATTGTGCTCGCCTGTCCCTGTGCTCACAAATAGTTGACCAATATTCTTTTTTTAGTACCATATATACAACTTACATTTTTCTTGACGATATATTACATAAAGTAAATATAGTTACAAATATGTAAAAATAAAGTAAAAATATTAAAGCAAAAGATTATTGGCACTTGAAGCTACAATTATCTACACACACAATACGTTTCAATCAATAAATATATAAGTAAGTATACATTGCTTCATTAATTGTAAAATTTATGTGAGACATTTACAATCTCTGTCTACAGACATTAATTCAATTAAGCAGCTTGTATCACGTACGGTACAACCAAATAATCTTTGACAATCGTACCTAGCATAATAGATTGAACAGATCTCCTTTGGGGAATTGCAAATGCAC